AAAAAAAAAAAAAAAAAAAAAGGTACCTGACCAAGGGCTGGAGCTGTAGTGCAGTGGTAGAGTGCTGGAGGTGTAGTGGTAGAGGGCTGGAGGTGTAGTGGTAGAGGACTGGAGGTGTAGTGGTAGAGTTCTGGAGCTGTGGTGTAGTGGTAGAGTGCTGGAGCTGTGGTGTAGTGGTAGAGGGCTGGAGGTGTAGTGCAGTGGTAGAGGGCTGGAGCTGTAGTGTAGCGGTAGAGGGCTGGAGGTGTAGTGCAGTGGTAGAGGGCTGGAGCTGTAGTGTAGCGGTAGAGGGCTGGAGGTGCAGTGTAGTGGTAAAGGGCTGGAGGTGTAGTGCAGTGGTAGAGGGCTGGAGCTGTAGTGTAGCGGTAGAGGGCTGGAGGTGTAGTGTAGTGGTAGAGGGCTGGAGGTGTAGTGCAGTGGTAGAGGGCTGGAGGTGTAGTGTAGCGGTAGAGGGCTGGAGGTGTAGTGTAGTGGTAAAGGGCTGGAGGTGTAGTGCAGTGGTAAAGGGCTGGAGGTGTAGTGCAGTGGTAGAGGGCTGGAGGTGTAGTGTAGTGGTAGAGGGCTGGAGGTGCAGTGATAGAGGGCTGGAGGTGTAGTGCAGTGGTAGAGGGCTGGAGGTGTGGTGTAGTGGTAGAGGGCTGGAGGTGTAGTGTAGTGGTAGAGGGCTGGAGGTGTAGTGCAGTGGTAGAGGGCTGGAGGTATAGTGGTAGAGGGCTGGAGGTGTAGTGCAGTGGTAGAGGGCTGGAGGTGCAGTGGTAGAGTGCTGGAACTGTAGTGGTAGAGGGCTGGAGGTGCAGTGGTAGAGGGCTGGAGGTGTAGTGTAGTGGTAGAGGGCTGGAGGTGTAGTGGTAGAGGGCTGGAGGTGTAGTGGTAGAGGGCTGGAGGTGTAGTGCAGTGGTAGAGGGCTGGAGGTGCAGTGGTAGAGTGCTGGCTTGGTTTGCACAAAGGCCTGGGTTCCACCACCACTACAACATACAAAACAAAGTAAAAAAGCTCCTCTGGGAGGTGCCAAACGTAATTCAGAAAGAAGAGCCTATACTCTGATACAGAGTGGAAAACAGGTAGCTACAAGGACAGCAGGAGTGTCAGCCAGTTTTAGAGGTGAACTTAGAGGTGTACAAAGACCAGCCATAGCCTGGTGACAGCTGGCGGCTCATGCCTGTGCCCCTAGCTCCACAGGAGGCTGAGAGCTCGGCTTCAGTTTGAAGCCAGCCTGGACAAGAAAGTCCATGCGACTCTTATCTTCAATCACCCAGCAAAAAAGCTGGAAGTGGAGCTATGGCTCAAGTGGCAGCGTGCTGCCTAGAGGAAAACAGCGAAGGGACAGCCTGCAGGCCTGAGTTCAAGCCCCAGAACTGGCCAAAAAACAAAAAAAAAGAGCAAGTTCACTAATAAGTTAAGCGATTCAGTAGTTTGGGGAAGATTTCTTCTACAAAGCTATTTAGATTACTGTCATCTATACTCATGATACTACTGGGTTGTTACTTAAAATCTGACCAGTAGATTAAGCAAACTTTTCATAGATTTTTTTTCAATGATGAGATCAAATTCTATTTGATATTGAATAGTATACTTACTGGACAGGTCACAAGGAGAAAGTATGTGATAGTTAAAGTTTCTTTTAACAAGTATTCCTGAGACTCGCTGGCCTTGTTCTGGTTTTTTGTCTGCTAAAAAGCCCATGACCTAAGACAACAAAAAAACAGTACAATTGAGGAAAAAACAACGTATGAAAGACAGAAAAATCCAGGCACCCCAGAGGGAGTGCCGTTCCTGACACAGGGGGAGCGTGCTGAGCTCATGATGAAGAAAGTAGCCTGAAAGCAGGTGTTAAGCAGAGGGGGCATCAGACCGCTGCAACAGCTGCTCAGATTCTACACCCTTACGGGCATGAAGCCTACAGCTCTTAAAGGTTCCTTAGTCCAACCACCAATCCATGGACTCATGGGATAAAGACTGTAGCGTTAACGGAGCAAGGACGCACACTATGGCACGCACCTGTCCTAACAAGAACCAGTGGAGACTGCTCTACTTCATGTGCTGCAGCTGCTTCTCTGGAAAGAGGCTTTGCTCCGAGAACTGGATTTTAACATGGCAGCGACTTACCAGAGGGTGAGATAAAGCTAATGCTTTTCCTTTCAATTTCTAAAAACTTTTGAGTTCATCTATATCTGTAACATGTGGGTGCTTCACTGTGATATTTCCATGCATGCAGGGTGTACCTTGAACCAATTCACGCTCTCTACCCCCTCCCTTCCCTGCTACCCCCAATTCTTTTTTTTTTTTTTTGAGTCCGGTCCTGGGGCCTGAACTCTGGGCCTGGGCGCTGTCCCTCAGCTCTTCAGCTCAAGGCTAGCGCTCTACCACTTGAGCCACAGCGCCACTTCCGGCTTTTTTCTTTTTGCTTATGTGGTGCTGAGGAATCGAACCCAGGGCCTCTGACATGCAAGGCAAGTGCTCTACCACTGAGCCACCTTCCCAGCCCCTCTTCTTTTTTTTGGTCAGTTGTGGGGCTTGAACTCTGGGTCTGGGCACTGTCCCTGAGCACTTCAGCTCAAAGCTAGTGCTCTATCAATTGAGCCGTAGGGCCACTTCTGGTTTTCTGGTCGTTTATTGGAGATAAGAGTCTCATGGAGTTTCCTGCCCGGGCTGGCTTTGAACCGTGATCCTCAGATCTCAGCCTCCTGAGTAGCTATAGGATTACAGGTGTGAGCCACCAATTTTAAACTCCTTGTAGGACCAGGGATGAACTCTAAGGCATGCCAGGCAAGCACTCTACTGCTGAGCTACACCCTCTGTCTGCATGTGCTTTTAAGTAACTAAAATTCCTAGAGAACAACCTAGTAATCATTATTAAGCTCAGCGTCCTGCCTGGTCATGGTGGCTTCTTCTAAAGTGGAACTACACGCCCTGCCCCTGCAGCTCCACCAGCGGTGTGTGAGGGATTTCCTGCTGAGTGTATTCTTTTCCAGGCACAACACCAAGCCCTGGGAGGCTCGGTGAGCAGTGAGGACTCAGGTGCGGCCACAACCAGCTGCTTTCCCAGGCAGCCAAGCCTCACTGCCAAGGTTTTTGTTTGTTTTCCCTCGTTTCAACTGTAAGAAAGGCTACCCACCCAGCAGTGGCTTCATCTCTGTCTTGGGATGCATTTATAAACTCAACAGATGCCTGATATTTAAAATTTCAGACAAATTGTGTAAAAGTTTGCCTTAGAAATAACTTACTAAAATTTTTCACTGAAATTTCACTGAAATCTGTACAACTATTTGAAGATAAAAATAAAAAATCTGAATGAAAACCCAGAAAATAAAAAGTGTTTCCACCATTCTAAAAGCCTAGATCAGGTGTTTAACTACTTCAATTTTATTTTTCAGTTTTGAATTTTGTGTTATATTTTACCATAAAAACTGATTATTTCTTAAGACAATCTTTCTGTGTTCTATCATAGCCAGACCAAGTGCACACATTTAGAGATATGGCCTATCTTCAGACTCTTCTACGAGATGAGCACAGCTTCCCACTGGCTGCCGTGGAATAGGAATGCACATCTGCTGACCCTCAGAAGGTGGGGAGGAAATGTGGAGATGCTGATTAAAGAGTTCTAGGACTCACGTTTACTAAGAACTAATCTATCTAAAACTTTCCCACCTGGAGAAGTGATAGTATAGCAAAAGAAGCGAAAGAGGCATCAGGCTTAGGTCTTTGTAGCATCCTATGTAAACAGAAGCGAGCACTTCCTTGAGATTTGATTAAAGATCTGTTTTCTTTCTCCCCTCCTTTTGAGAGAAGGTCTTGCATATAACCCAGGTTGGCCTGGAACTCATGGATCTTCCTGCCTCAACCTTCCGAAACTCTATCTTCTTACAGAGAATACCTCCCCGCAAAGAAAACATGGCTAGGATGAGGTGATGTCACCTTTTACCTTGGCCAGCTTTTCCCCTCTGAAGTTTAAGGTCACTGCCTCTGTGTTCCGAGGGTTGTGAACCTCTATGTGAACCTCGTCGTTATCTTCATATTCTCGAATCAGTGCTGCTTTCAGTCTGGCCATTTCGTTCTGTTCCCCATGGACTAAAATCTACACAGGAAAAGAGTAGCGAGAAATACCTTTCATTCAGAAAAATAATGATCTTTAACTGCATTAAGTTTGTGAGAAAGACTCGAAGAAGTACACTACTAATTTTAAGGGCCTTCAGCCAGACTTGCACAGACCACTTCGCTCTGCTTGGGAAGAGGCTGAGGAGCATCTGTCTTGTACAAAGATCCTCAGGGCACCGGTTTTGTATAAAGAACCGTCTTCTCAGTGTCACTTCTGTTGGGTGGCTTCTGTGTCCACCATGGTGAAGGGCTTGGCCAGTTGACCTCTGCCTTCCCTGCAACTTCACATACAATGGTTCTTAGCTACTCCTGCTCTCTCAGAAAGTATACAGTTTTCCCTACATTTCTTAATGTACAGCATAAAAGGCTTCACGAAGGGAAAAAAGTAGCTGCTGATAGGTTCTTCTGTTTATTAAGGCAAAGGAAATACAAGGTTTCAGGACCAAGTGAAGTGTCAGAGGGCACTAGCTTTTCAGTTGTTTTTTTTTTCTTTTTTGGGCGGTAGTTTTTTTTTTGAGCTGAGTCTCACTGTGCAGTCCAGGCTAGCCTCCATACCTCAGTCCTCCTGCCTCAGCCTCCTTAGTGCTGGAATTACAGACATGTACAACAACATTGGCTTGTATCCATTTTTGTAACCTCTATCTTCCTAGCGTCTAGCCCACTGGCAGATGGCTCCTGTCTGGCTGGTGAACTGTGGCTGCTGAGACATTCCTGGGTGGAAGCTTGCCACTGTGTTGCCTACGGGCGAACACTGAGCCCTGGCACTGCCGTGTGCTGCTGGCTAAGGCCTCTGGCACCTCAGGCGCCTGTTACAATGATTACACGAGTTACCTCATGTGAATCGCTAGTGGAGTGCCTGGCAAATGCCAATACTCACTAAATAAATGCTGGCTATTAACTACCACTGCTCGTACGTAAGAATTACTACGTAGTTACACTTTTGCCACTGGTTATTGGAGGAAGACAGCATCAAGTTCAATTCAGGGATTTAAAGATGAACTGGAACAACAGAGAAAGCAGAGGACAGATCTACTCCCAGCTGATGACCTGAGAATGGCCACAGCCATGTACGCTAGAAACCATGGAGTCCTCTGTATTCCACACATACATGTGACATGTAAGTGATATGTCCATCAATGAACTTGACCACTAACGCCACTGCTCAGTCCGCTGAGGACCTTCACATTAGATATTACCTAGAGACTACAGACGAGCACACAAGGTGATGCTCAACTCATCAGAGAAATGAATGTCAAAGCCAAAAGTGATATAACTAAGTATGCATCAATGGACAGATAAATCAGCTAAAACATGGAACATGTACAGACGATGGAATATCACCTAGCACAGGGCACGCAGTTCTGACACACATCACCACACAGATGCACCCGGAAAGCACCAGAGTGGTATACACTGCTCCTTCCTAACTACCTAGGTCAGGCAAACTCTCAGAGACAGGAAGTGCGTTAGAGGTAACTGAGGGCTGAGAGAAGGGAACAGGGAGTGACTGGGTAATCTGTTTGGGGCAATGGAAAGTTCCGGTTGCACAATGGCCTGATGCCACTGAATTATAGACTTTAAAGTACATGCTGTATGTTATATAGATTTTCAATAAAAACATTTTATAGCAACAACTCAAAGCAACTAACAGAAAGCCATTTCCTCTAAACTACTTTTTTTCATGTCAAAAGGGAATTTTATCTATTTTCTACAGACCTCAGTCTCATAGTATTCTTCTAATTAAAAGCACACATTATTTTCAGTTTCTTCTTCTTGCTAACTCCATCAAAGTATATAACGATTACTTTTATTGCACGAAGCTTAAAGAGACAGGTTAATCATACTAATAAGGAGCTTTATGTACAAATGTGTCATATCTATTTTACTATTAAGGCTTTTACTCTTGCTTTGTCTATTTCACACATTATTAACCAGTTATCCCAGTAAGTGCTTTAGGCACATGCTCCCATTCCATTGTCCCAATGGCCTTGTGTGGCATTACCATCCCTATCTATAATGAGGTACACAAAGGCTAACTAGCTTGCTCAGGATAACACAGAAGGAAGGTAAAGGAATGAGCAGAGTTCAAACAAGCTGCTGCATCCCAAGCCTGGCTCTTAGGTTACTGGGCAGGCTGCAGCAAACAGAATGAACAGGAGCTGAAATAGGGACCTGAGGAAGGGTCACAAAAAAGTGAACGAAGTAAGAATGCAGCTTGCCTAACACAAGGGGTGGAGGTGGAGGGCTGAAGGTCAAAGCAAGTGCAGTGCAAATGCTCTGTTGACAGAGGGCTGCTGGGTCTGGGGGCTTGGGAGTATGCTTCTTCCTCCTTAATATTAACTAAACATTCACAATAGACCAAATTCATACTAACCACATGAGGCGGTTTCAAAGCACGAATAAATTCACTGGTTTGCTGGTAATCTGTATGAGCAGAGAAAGAAATGTAATCAACCGACATTTTCAGCGGCAACTTCTGTCCAGACATGGTAGTGATTTCTTCAGGCTCAGACATGATATGCTGTTAAAAACAAATATAAGAAAACAGACTGTCCAATTAGAACAGGCACATTTTCAGTTTTTTGGGTTTTTTTTGTTTTTGTCAGTTGTGGGGCTTGAACTCTGGGCCTGGGTGCTGTCCCTGAGCTCTTCAGCTCAAGGCTAGTGCTCTACCACTTGAGCCACAGTGCCACTTCTGGTTTTATGGTGGTTAATTGGAGATAACAGTCTTATAGACTTTCCTGCCTCAGAAAATCCTGAGCAGGTAGGATTACAGGTATGCACCACCAGCACCCAGCTACTTCTGGCTTTTTCTTTGTATATGGTACTGAGGAATCAAACCCAGGGCTTGATGCACGCTAGGCAAGCTCTCTACCACTGCACCACATTCCAGCCCACATTTTCAGTTTTTTCATGCAGCCCTCCACTTGTATGTTAAGCTCCGCCATAAGCTTCAGCACAAAAATCAGTCCAATATCATTGACTTACGCAGTTCCAAATACTCATTTTCATAAGAAAACTTTATTCAGGAGAATAAGAAAGTTAACTAAAACTCAGTATATTTAGAAGTGAAAACTAGAACACATACTTAGAAAGCAAACATGCAATCCCAGCTCTTTTCCTAGGCTAGCTAGAAAAGCACTTTCCAGATATCAGAATTTCTACATAATGGAAATCCACTTTAAACACACGACCAATATTCTCTCTAGTTGCAAACGGTCAAAGTAAGAAATCACCTTGTTTTTCAATATAAAATAGATGTTAATAATAAGACTATGAGAACAAGATGTTCATACACTGTCTCTTAAGTTGCCAATACTTAGATATTCATACATCTTTGTCAATAAGTTTCCTTTATTTTCTACCTCTTCTTCCCTAGAAGCTAAGAACAGACATTTTACACCAATACAATGACAGGCAGTCTACAGCTTGACTTATTTATTGGTTTTGGTTGGGGTCAGGGCTTCACATGTGCTAAGCAGGCGTTCAACCACTTGAGTCATGCCTCTAGCTCCTTTTGATTTACTCTGGGGTCTTGTATGTCCTGGCTGACCTGTGCTGTCATCCTCCAGTTTAGGCTTCCTGCGTTGTTAGGATGACAGGTGCATATCACCTCACTTAGTTATTGGTTGAGACATACTTTTTATGACATTCTGCCCAGGTTGGCCTCAAACCTGATCTGACTCCCAAGTAGCTGTGAATATATACACATGGGTCAGTCAGGCCCCTTCTACAGGGTTTTAAAAGACTATGTCACAAGATGAGCACCTTTAGTCTGAAAATGAAAATTAAAAACAAAAACAACTCTCCAAAATACAACATTTTCTGAATATACAAAGATTAGGCACACTCAACTGGTAAAGCCCATGCAAACACTCCAAAAACCCAAAACTACAAAACTGAAAAAAAAAAAAAAAAACTCTTTCAGTCCTTGGCACTTTGGGTGAGAGATACTCAGCCTTTATCAGTAAACCTCTTCATTAGGTCTCCTATCCTTTTGTTCATTTTATTACTTGTAACCAGCTGAGCACTTTTTTTTTTTTTGGTTGGTCGTGGGGCTTGAACTCTGGGCTTGGTCGCTGTCCCTGCGCTCTTTAGCTCAAGGCAAGCTCTCTACCGCTTGAGCCACAGCGTCACTTCCAGTTTTCTAGTGGTTTATTGGAGATAAGAGTCTCACAGACTTTCCTGCCCAGGCTGGCTTTGAACCTCGATCCCCAGATCCAGCCTCCTGAGTAGCTAGGATTACAGGCGTGAGCTACCGGCGCCTGGCTAGCTGAGCACTTCTTAAACTTCAGTGTATGTCCTGATCTCCTAGATGTAGTTATGTCATTCAATGTCTGCAGGGTTCATCTTTAGCTACCCATTTCCAATCTCTTATTAAAATCAGAACTTGTCTTTTAAAGGAACTCCTTGAGTGGAAAGTTCATGAGGCTGCTGCAGGTTCTGCAAGCACCCTGAGACGCAGACTGACCTTGGCAAGCGTGCCTTCTACACAGTACCCTGCAATAATGACGCCGTTCCTCTTATCGGTGCACCAGCTCTCAAACAACTCACGGGACAAGCCACTCTGCATCATGCCTGGAGAGGCCATGACTACACTGGGGCCGATGTCATCAAAGTGGTCCATGCTCTGAGAAAACAAAGAATGGTACAGCAGGTTAACCATCGGCCACCAGGTTTTACAAAGCATCTTTCACTTTTAAAGAACAACAAAATGTGATACAGAAGGTTCACCACACTATGGAGAGGGCCTGGGGCAAATCTAGTTAACATTTTAAGTCTAATTGCCAAGTTTTAAAATCAAAACTTGAGTACTTTAAAGGACTACTTCAGGGACTGGGAAGGTGGCTCAGTGGTAGAGCGCTTGCCCCCGCATGCCTGAGGACCTGGGTTCGATTCCTCAGCACCACAAAAGCAAAAAAAAAAAAAGCTGGAAGCGGCGCTGTGGCTCAAGTGGTAGAGCGCTAGCCTTGAACTGAAGAGCTGAGGGACAGCACCCAGGCCCAGAGTTCAGGCCCCACTACTGGACCCAAGGAAAAAAAAAAAAGGACTACTTCAATGGAAATAGTCTATGAGGCTATATATGACCACTTGTAGGCCAGCAACCGTAGAGGTACGTGATACAGAGCAGTCAATTCACTTAGCACTAAACTCTCCACATGTAGCTGAAGGCCCAAGGACTATTCTCAGGGCCTGGAATGCCACTTACAACTTACATTATTTTAGATATTCATTACATCAGATTTTACCAAATGCTCTTGAAAAGTAAACCTGTGGGAAATTAAATCTGGAATTTGTAGTACTAATCAAAGATGATGAACTTTGGATGGAAGTTGAGATTCTGACTAGACAGCATACCATCTTTTTCTTGTCAAGACTTTATTCTTATGGCCAGAGAGAACCAAGTTAACAGCAGCTGTAAACACTGGGAGTATGTAAAGACTCAGAGTAAGTGGCCACTCTGCTTAAGTAAAAAAAGAATGCTGTTTATCCCAGCATTCCGGAGGTTGAGGCAGAAGGAGGAAGAGCGTGTGCCAGCTTGGGCTGTATAGCCAGACCCTGTCTTAAACAAATACAATGCCAGGGGCTGCCCTGTTGATGTCATGGAGGAATACCATGGCTGACCAAATAAGAGGCTGGCCTCCAGGGGAGGACTCAGCCAGTCCACCATTGTCAGGACCAACCTTAGCCTCCCTTTGCCCCACGTATACTCACCTTCAGGTTGCTGATATGTTTGAAAACAAAGGGATTATTGATGTTGATCTGCTTTCGGATCTTGTCATTCATGGCATTCACATACGTCTGGTACACAGCCATGCACTTCTTAGCCAATGAGGACGCGTAATAGATGGGGATGTCGTGCAGCTCAGGGTGGTTCTGCCAGTACTCATCTACAGCCATTGTGAGAGAAATAGCCTGGCTCAGTTACATGCTAGATATAATTCAAACAATAAATGATACCCACAAATAACTTAAAAATTCACATGGAACCAAGAAGTATCACAAAATTATATTTTAAAAAGCTAAGAAAAATAATTTTGATCTATACAAATTTAGACTTAAAGTCTAAACTTATTTCAAAATACTGGTGCAGGTTTTGTAGGCATGGCTCAGATTGGAAATAAGCATCATACTGAGTTTCAGTCCTGGTCTCAGCCCTTGCCCCACCGCCCCCCCCAGCAGAAAAGAGCACAAAATCTAAAAAACAAACTTAATTAAGATGTTGTGATCATAGACCAAAGATGGAGAAGTTTTAAGAAATGATTCAGTTAAAGCTTACTGAATAACGGACCAACAGACCACTGACTATACCTCAAAGAGACAATCTTGTGTACTTAAGGTCAGGCAAGTTTCCTGTCACGTGGGTTATACATGCATTTCCTATTCTGTCCTGACTTATTTTGTTCATTTTTTTTTGGGGGGGGGTCCGGTTGTAGAGCCTGAACTCTGGGCCTGGGCGCTGTCCCTCAGCTCTTCAGCTCAAGGCTAGCTCTCTACTACTTGAGCCACAGCGCTATTTCCGGCTTTTTTTCTTTTTGCTTATGTGGTGCTGGGGAATTGAACCCAGGGTCTCATGCATGCAAGGCAACCACTCTACCACTGAGCCACCTTCCCAGCCCCTGTTTTTTTTTATTTTTTTTTTGTTGGTCATGGGGCCTGATCTCTGGGCCTGGGCGCTGTCCCTCAGCTCTTCAGCTCAAGGCTAGCTCTCTACCACTTGAGCCATAGCGCCACTTTCGGCTTTTTCTGTTTATGTGCTCAGGAATCGAACCCAGGGCCTCATGCAAGCAAGGCAAGCACTCTCCCACAAAGCCACCTTCCTAGCCCGTTAATGTTGTTTTTTTTTTTTTTTAGAAATAACTAAACAAATTTAATAGTGTCAAAGTTTCAAGGACACTCTAATAGAACTTCTCATACATTATATCCCATGAGCATATCTTTTTTTGTTTTTTGTCAGTCATTGGGCTTGAACTCTGGGCCTGGGTGCTGTCCCTCAGCTCTTCAGCTCAAGGCTAGCGCTGTACCACTTGAGCCACAGCGTCACTTCCAGTTCTGAGTGGTTTATTGGAGATAAGGTCTCACAGACTTTCCTGCCTGGGCTGGCTTTGAACCATGATTCTCAGATCTCAGCCTCCTGAGTAGCTAGGATGACAGGCCTGAGCCACCGGCACCCAGCTTGTTTTTGTATTTTTATGAACAAATATTGAAAAATAATTAAGTAACTTGACCAAGGGCATGTTCCCTTCCCACCACACTGCACTGCAGGGAGCAGGTAGGAAAAGGGGCAACAATCACATTCTGTGGTCCTGGCTCATGAAAAGAACTATAATTCATGCTTTCATGGTGAGGTTGCCAGATAAAAACACCAAACCTCCACTTCAACTTCAGATAAACAACAGAAGATTCTTAGCTTTTCACATACTGAAGTCTTCCTATTCATCTGAAATTAAAATATGACTAGTGATATAATGGTTTTGTTTTGGTGCCAGTACTGGAGCTTGAACATGGGTCCTTGTGCTCTTGCCTTGTTTTTTGTTGTTGTTGTTTTGTGGGTAGTGGGTCTTCAACTCGGCCTGGATAGTTTCTGAGCTCTTCAGCTCAAGGCAAGTACTCTACCATTTGAGCCACAGCGCCACTTCCCGTTTTCTGGTGGTTAACTGGAGAGAAGAGTCTCATGGACATTCCTGCCCAGGCTGGCTTTGAACGGTGATCCTTAGACCTCAGCCTCCTGAGTAGCTAGGATTACAGGTGTGAGCCACTGGCACCCAGCATCACTTTGTTTTTTTGCTCAAAGCTGGCATCATGAGCCACAGTTCCACTTCTAGCTTTTTGCTGGTTAAAGATGTCTCACAGATTTTTCTGGCCCAGGCTGTCTTCAAACTGTGATCCGCAAACCTCAGCCTCCTGAGTAGCTAGTTTACAGGTGTGAGGCACCAGTGCCTTATTACTACATTTTTACTGGTCACATCTTGCAGCAACTGGCACCAGCATGATGGTGACAATGTGGCATCCTCTTCCTCACTTCCCTTGCTGTTAGTGGCTGCAAACACTTCATGCCAAGTCTTTAAGGCCACTTTGACTTGTACTCAGGAAAGAGGCCCAATTACGAGGAACAGATGGGACTGTGCTGATTTAGAACATGCTAGGGAATACCCTACAATGCAGTGATTACTCAAGTATTTCTTTACAAACTAAGATGGTGCTGGAAATGTGACTAAGTGGTAGAGTGCTTGCCTAGCATGCATGGAGCCCTGGGTTCCATTCCTCAGTACATCAATGGAAAAAGCCGGAAGTGGTGCTGTGGCTCAAGTTGTAGAGAGCTAGCCTTGACCAAAGAAAAAAAAAGCTCAGGGACAGCGCCCAGGACCTGAGTTCAAGCCTTAGGACTGGCAAACAACAACAACAACACACACACATACACACCAGCTTACACTAAGCAAAAGGAAAGAAATGTACATATCACTCAACTTGGAAGAATAGCTATACTGTCAAAGTTTATTGAATTCACAAACTTTATAGACTATGATAATGACAACTTGCCTTGTGAAGATTAAAATGTGTTTGTGACTTTAAGCATCACTATCCCACAATACTGTGAAATTTATGTAATCATTCAATCTCAATTAACAAAAGTATTAAAAAAAAAAGATGATGACTAACCTTACTGGAAAGTCATTCTATACACTTCATTAATTCCTCAGAAGTGGGACTGCTGGTCAGGAGTATGCACATTTTGAGACTTCGAATGCTGCCGGCAAACAGAAAAGGCTCACCAGCTGGTAGTCCCAGAGCAGAGTATGAAGTGCTGCTCTCCTGCGCTCTTACTAGCACCAAAGAAACCAAAACCAAAACCCTTTATTTTTTTTTTAGTGCCAGTCCTAGGGCTTGAATTCAGGGTGCTGTCCCCAAGCTCTTTCTGCTCAAGGCTAACACTATACCACTTGAGCCATAGCTCCACTTCTAGCTTTTATGGTTAACTAGAGATAAGAGTCTCATGGACTTGTCCTGCAGGGGCTGGCTTCAAACCTCAATCCTCAATCTCAGCCTCCTAAATAGCTAGGATTACAAGCATGAGCCACTGGCACTCGGCCAAATCCCCATTTTTAAAAGAAGAAACTGAAGCCAAGAGTGGTGGAGTGACACAGCAAGGCCACGTTAATGTCTTAGTAAAAGGATGTATGGTCTTAGGAGCCTCCCAAATACCTAGAATCAAGAGCAGCTCCTGAGCCCTTCCCAGTGCAAAGACAGGAATGAGGCCTCGGCCCCCTCTATTCACAATGTCGTGGACAGTGTTGCAGAACCGTGCTTCTCGCTCTTCGCGCTTCTCATGGATATGGGTCCCGTACGTAGATTCCTACAACAGATTAGACATGTGAGACCAAGGCCAAACAGCCCCCAAGATCTTAAGAGTTACATGCTCATGAAATGCTGAGGTAAAGAGATTCTTTTCTCTACTAACTTGTCTTTCACCTGAACATGTTAATTGTAACAATGTTATTTAGTACATATATAAACTGGAAAGAAAAGCAAATAAAAAAAATTCTAAGTAATTTAACATTTTAGAAAGTGGAATCAAGCTGGACACGGATAGCACATGCCTGCAATTCTACTTACTCAGGAGACTGAAATCTGAGGATTGAGGTTCAAAGCTAGTCTAGGCAGAGAAATCTGTGTGAATCTTCTCTCCAATTAACCAGTAAAAAGATGGAAGTAGAAATGTAGCTCAAGTGATAGAGCACCAAGGCCTTGAGTTCAAGCCTCAGGACTTGCACTTGTGCGCGCGCGCGCGCACACACACACGCACACACACACACACACAAGAAAAATTCTGCCTATGTTACACTAGTTGTAGTATATACAGTAATACTTACAATGATAAGTATATCGGGTTTAATATTAGGAATTTCAGCGGCCATTAGGTGTCTATCTTCTTGTCTTGAGAAATCTCCTGTGTATAAAAGCTGTGAAGGAAAAAGAAAAAACCCTGGAAATTAAGTTTTAGGGAAGGCCTCATATTGCTAGTGAAGATTTTAATCTTGTAAAATCTAGTAATAAAATTAAGTTACAAACACCCTGCACCTGCACACAGATCCCATGTTATGTGTAGTCACTAGGTGTGAGGTGGTTTCAGCAAACACCCATCCTGCATTCCGGTTGAAATGGGAAGAAAGCAGCCTGGACTCACCCCAGAGTAAGTACTGACAAAGTATGTCTCAGTAAAGGGGAAGAGAAAAAGGGCATGCTGATAGAATGCAATCTCTGGAGGGTTGGAGCACTGTTCAGTGTGGATGGCAGGTGCCCAGAGAGGCAAATCCAATTTCAGAGGAGAATCATCAGGTAAGCACTCAGGCTACTTACATTTTCTGTGCTGCTGCAGCAAAGTGCAAAAATAGCTGATGACACACTGTACCAACTCAGTGTGCACAAGTTTCAAACATGAGCAGCTAAAAAGATTCATTGAAAAATGAAACACTGGTTCCTACCCCAGGGTACAGAGGAAAATCATCTGGAAAGGAAAGAGCCAAGGCTAAACCTCCAGGTTAGGTATTTCTTAGAGGTATTCAACAGGAATTTCTTGAAGCTTCCTAAGTGACTCCGATTTTCCGATTTACAGCCAGAGTGCAAATGCAGGCTAGTGGCTGGCCTACCACAGGCCTGCTTCCTCTTGGGCGGGAAAGTTACCTTCACACCCGCGATCTCAATCATGAACATGGCGGCTCCCAGGACGTGGCCTGCATGGTAACACCAAAACTTGATTCCTGCAACTTCCTTAACTTCGTGGAAGTTGATGGTTTCAATTTTGTCCATACTTTCTTCCAAATCTGTCTCAGTGTACAGCATGTCATCTGCTGATATGTTACTAAATTGAAAGAGTTAACAAAAGGAATCAAGGGCAAGATGTTTCACATCAGACTAAAGACTGCTGGGCACATAAGCACTTTTTAGGTGTGAACTAGCAATTCTAGGTATAATTTCCTATTTGTCTGTATTTGCATAGTAATATTTTAGCTACTACTGAATTAAACAATCAACTTTAGATTTTTGTTGTTGTCTTTTGAGACTAGGTCTTACTATATAGTCAACCTCACTTCAAATTATGGTCCTCCTACCTCAGTCTCCCCAGGCATATACCATCATATGCAGCTTAAGACAATGCCTGAAGGTTAATCCCGTGAACTGCAGGAATCATACTCATGCTCTAAACTTTCTGACAGGAAAGGTTAAGGCCTTCTCCACAAAACTCTTTTTTTGTGTGTGTTATTTGCTTTAGAAGAAAAATTTCCTCATGTAACATTTTTAGCAATTTTTGGTTATCATCTAATCCAAAATAAAATTTTAGTAGATAGGATTGCTCAATATATTTGACCTTAAATAGTAATACAATTCTGAAATGCTGTTTACAGTGCCTTTCTAGCCTCCGTGTTTGTGCTGTAGGACTATGCCTATTTACCAAAGCTTTAAAAGGGTGTGAAACCAAAAGGAAATAAAGGCAGGAAGGTCTGACACACAGTGGCTTGTTCCTGCATGACTAAATCTGGAGAATAACTGAGACTACAGTATTTCAAAACACAAAATGGTCTCTATTTTGAGCTATGTACTGTGGAGAGCTGGGATGATCTAAGAAAGTCATTTACCTAACTTTGACGTAGTCTGATAGAAGCCATCTATAAATAGCTTTCGTGGCATGTGTCATAAATGTTCTTCCTTTGAAACTTGTCTTCTGTAGAAACCAGGGCAATGCTCCACAGTGATCTAAGTGGAAACTTAAAAACAGACAAGATTGAACAAATTCACACATTATCCACCAAGCTCCAAGTGTAATTAAATTGTTGCTCCTGGAGCCTACATTACATAATAATACTTTGAGTAAACCAAGTAGGGTTGTGTAGGTGTGTGCAGAGAGAGGAATAAGGCATAGAGTTCTGATATAGGAAATTATTTTAAAAGCACTTAAAAAAACCGAGCAAGTCTTTTCAGTAAATTAATAGACAAGACTAGAGCTGGAGCTTCATTGGCAGCCAGAAATGGTAATGATTTAGTGGAATGTCACTATGCATATATGAAGTTCAAGAAGAAAGGGACAAGCAGTGAGTCTAGGGAGATGTCTGGATGTCTCTTGTCTCATCTGACAGGGATTCAAGATCTTCACTGTCTCCTTCCCTGTGACATAGTAGATTACACACAGAGAGAGGCTGGTGAGCTGTTCCTAGTACCCCTCTAGCCTAGGATGATAAAATGTAGTGCTGGAGAAACAGATATTTGCAATGTTTCCCAGTAGAAAATATTTGGTTTTCTAAAAAAAAAAAAACAAAAAAAATCTCAGAATCTGGTAAATAACAATATTGAAATAATACTGCTAGCTAGGCAGCGATGGCTCAAGCCTGTAATCCTAGATGGTTGGAAGGCTGAGATCTGAGGATTATGGTTGAAAGCCAGCTTAGGCAGGAAAGTCCATGAGACTCTCATCTCCAATTAACCATCAAAAAAAAACCCTGGAATTAGAGCTATGGCTCAAGTGGTAGAGCACTAGCCTTGAACACAAAAACTCAGGGGCAGTGCATAGACCCTGAATTCAAGCTCCAGGACCAGCACAAACACATATACACATCCAAACCCAATCCTAAAAACAATACTGCTCTTGAAGGAAAAGACTTACTGACTAATTAACAGGAGATCAATCTCAGCTGGGTCAATCAAGTCAATATAAGGGAGAGCATCCATTCCTTCTAGGCCAGGGTGGATCCCACAGTCCAGCTAGAAGAGAAAGAAGAAAGTTAGTCTCCTACATCTTATTTTATTCAAATTCATCCAGTAAACAGCCAATTAAACTGGTCCACCCTCTACATAATCAACATGGACTCTATATGACCACTTGTAATGCAATTCTTATTAAATATGGTAAAGGTGCCATTATCAACTCTTAACTCCCCAAATTTAGAATGCAGTTCACAATTAAATCTCATCAGATGTAAAATACAAGACATCTTTCCAGCTGCTTTTGGTGAGACCACTATATAAAATGAACTTTTTCAAGAACTCCAGTATTTGTTGATGGTAGGCTTCTTAAAAGTTTGTCAATTTGCTATTCCCAGATCTGGCTATGAGAAGCTCATAGGAACAGAAAGCGTACCTGGTCAGGCATACAAGCCACTGCACTACTTTTTGTGTGTGCGTGTATGTGTGCGTGTGTGTGTGTGTGTATACAGGTGTACCAGGATTGGGGCTCGAATTCTGGGTGGTCTAGGTACTGTCTCTGAGCAATTTTACTCAAGGCTGGCACCCTACCACTTGAACCACAGTTCCACTTCTGGTTTTTTTGCTGGGGATATGAGTCTCACTGACTTTCATGCCTGCTGACTTCAAATCTGAGCTCAGCCTCCTGAGAAGCTAGGATTACAGGCTTGAGTACCGCTATTGAGAACCTTAGAAACCATCTCTTATAACCCCTCTACTTTTCTCAGGCTCAGAGAGGAAGAATGCCAAAGGTGACTTAGGTAACCTAGCACTCAATCACTCCTGCTACATTGGGGTATTCAGAGCTATAAAGCTCTGAGCAGAGCAATGAAGTTGGCTAGATACTCCCAAGAACAGAAGAAAGACTTCAAAGAAACAAGTTCTGGAGATCTAGTTGACATTTTTTGAAATTCTTTTTTGGTTATTGGGCTTGAACTCAGGACCTGGGTGCTTTTACTCAAGGCTATCTCTCTACTACTTGGAGCCATAGCTCCACTTCCTAGCTGGTATTTTTACAATCTCAGGATAAATCTCCTTAGATTATTTAGTGCTTTGTCAAATTATGAAGTACAAGCATGTATTTGATTTCTCAGCATAATACACGACATATTATATCACTAAGCAGAAAACTAATTTGCTAGGAAAAGACCTAACATCTAGTATAGAAAGAGCCATTCTGTTAACCTATAAAATGAGTAATCACTGAGGGAATAGTTCAGTGGTAGAGCATATTCTTAGCATGCAAAAAGCCCTAGGTTCAATCCCTAGCACCAAATAATAATAGCAATGATAATAATGATAATTACCATTATTTTTCTTCCTTTGAACTCCAGAATAATACATGATCTTCCTACTTCTTGGCCAGCTCCACTGTAAAAATTCAAAGGTAAAATAAAATTTAAAAAACAAACCAGAGCTTTAAACCAGTTGTGAAAATACACGCCTACAATCCCAACATTTGGGAACCAACACCACACTAATCCTGCCCCCCAAAAAAACCAATACACACTCACATACACATACACACACACACACACGCACGCACAAACCCCCCCAAAACACCGAGCCCAATAAATTCAATGGTTCTTCCAAATTAAACTGCATCCCATTGCCTAACAGTGACCTGACATGAAGAACTCAGCTTAGCAGAGCACTGGTGGCTCACGCCTGTAATCCTAGCTACTCAGGAGGCTGAGCTCTGAGGATGGTCCTTCAAAGCCAGCCCAGACAGGAAAGTCCATGAGACTCTTATCTCTAATTAACAACCAGAAAACTGGAAGTGGTACTGTGGCTCAAGAGGTAGAGTACTCACCTTGAGAGACAGAGCCTAGGCCCAGAGTTCAAGCCCCATGACCAACAAAACAAACAAAACCCTGTTTATAAGCAGACAGTAAATGGATCTCAAACTAGGACCCTACTCAGAGTTGACCACTGATGCAGAAAAATCAAACCAGATGGGAGCTATCACGAATTCCAGGTCTTTTATTTCATCTGCCCTAGATATTGCCAGTTAAGTGACCCCAGTTCAGTTTTCCAGTTATATTATTCCCTTTGCTAAATTTTCCAGTCTTGTCTTCTCCTTTACTTGAGACACCGGCTTATCATCTACATCAAGGAAACAGAATTGAACTTCACTTTTCAAAACGTCCAGGGCTTTCCTCTTCCCAGTTCTCCTGGAACAGGCTACTCTGTAAGGTGAGCCTGCGCGTGACTCTATGCTCTCCAAGTCCCTTCTTCAGAAACTGAACAATGCTGTCCCTGGCATCCCCTCACCCTCTACTCTACTCTATGTGGAAGTCTTTCTTAAATTCCCAAACGCAAACCCTCAGTTCTCATTTCCTTTGGTTCCCACTTTGCTTTCCCCAGCCAGCACCCTAGGAGCTAGTCACTCTCCCTCCTGTTTTTCCTCACCTTCTACCCCTGTAGTTCAGTACAGACTGACTTCCACCGTCCACTCTGAAATACCATTACCAAGCGCAAACAGCACACTTGGTCTCTATCAAACTCGTTCTCCAGGCAGCTTCTCAGACCACGTGGTTCTTTAAGCACTCCTTCGGTGGCTTTTCTGATGCCACGCTCTGGTCCTATCCTTTCAGCTTTCCTTCTCTATTTACTTCACACTTAGCTGTCTCCCTGGTTTCCTCCTCACCCTCTGCTCAACTGCATCATTTCAGACACACCAATGACTTCCAATGTGTACATGTTCCCTTGAACACATGTTCTAGTGCTCTAATTTATTGTGTTAAGTTTCTTTACTGGGATCTCACCAAGATACCTCATATTTAATACACCAAACTAGTTTTCAACATAAGCCTTCTGCCCTGCTTTCTTCCCAGAATGTTATACTCTGCAAGTCACATACATGACTGACTCCCTTTAACCAGGTGGATCTCCATCCAATGTTACCTTCCCAGAGGCATTCCCTTACGACCTTCTCTAAGCCGTTTTTTATAGCTAGCCACAATCCAGCGTGAATTTAGCGGCACACAACTACATGAAATTATTCGGTTTATAGTTTGCTTCTCACTAAAATGAAATTTTCATTAAAAGGACTTGTCCACTGCTACTATGGTGCCTGACATGTAGTTAACCTTAATAAATGCTTATCAAATGGATAAAAGCCCTCAAATTACAAGCCTTGGCAATACTATGTTTAGTGAAAGAAGCCAGATATCAAAGGCTTCTATTTATATGAAATGCTTCAGAAAAGCAAATCTATTGAGAAGGGAAGTAGATTAGTGTAACACAGGGCTTGGGAGAAGACTGTGAATACCATTTTTTTTTTGGGGGGGGGTGGTCCGGTCATGGGCCTGAACTCTGGGCCTGGGTGCTGTCCCTCAGCTCTTTAGCTCAAGGCTAGTTAGTGCTCTATCACTTGAGCCACAGCGCCACTTAAGGCTTTTTTTTTTTTTTCTGCTTATGTGGTGCTGAGGAATGGAATCCAGGGCCTCATGCATGCAAGGCAAGCGCTCTACCACTGAGCCACCTTCCCAGCCCCTGTGACTACTATTAAATACAGGTTTCTCACTGAAATGATAATGTTCTAGAACTACACTGGTGAGGGTTATAAAATTCTGTCACCATACCAACCCTCCCCCCCGAAATGCAGTTTCTATGAGTGACTTGTATGTGATATCTTATACAACAAAGTTGTACAAACCAAACCAAGTATCTTCCAAATCTGCCCCACCTCCTACACTCTTTACTAGTGACCAACCTAGGACTCTGAATTGTCCCAATCTAAATGTTCCTCTCTACACACGTGCTCCACAGACCCCCATCAGATAACTAATAGCTATCATCAATAAAATACTGGTGATTTCACATTTCCTCAAGCCTAGTTCTTTCCAACTATTGTCCTTCATTTCACTGATTACAGGATTTCATCACTTATACTTGGACCATCCAATTACATGCTATGAGAATACCTTTTATTCATCTGCTAAACAATGACCTTCTTAAATATAATTCCCACTGCAACCCACTTGCTCTAACTCCCTTGTTGGCTTCCTGTAGCTGACATAATGAAAGCCCAAACTCTATAGAACATATAAATTGGATCCAGATAGCCTATCGTATCTTCTTTGCTGTGTTAGCCACAACTTTGAGTTAACTGGCCACAAGCTGACTACTCTCATTTTTGCACATCACTTTTTCTGCTTGGAACCCTCTGGCCCTTACACTGTAATTCCTATTCAAGTTTGCACAGGATGCATGAGATCTTCTTCTCTACCTGCTAGAAAGTCCTTTCTGTACTCTTCAGGCAAGCAAGCAGTACAGTGCCTACCTGCGCTCTGGTTAAGAGTTGTCATTTACCAAGCGCATGCCTGACTCAAAAAAGGCTGTCAATGAATTCTGTCCTGTGCCTGCTGCGGTGCTTTAACACTAGCTCAGTGTTTTCAGAATGTAGACAGAGGGCAGGTGTGAATTTAGCACAGGGAAACCTGGGCTCTGTTCCCAGTAGGTGCTCAATGAACATGTATTGAATGAGTATACCTTTCTATATGTAAAAGAAAACACACATCCATGCGGTGCTCATCTCTAATACTAAACAATATGGGGTTGGGAAGCTGGCTTAGTGGTAGCGTGCTTGCCTTGCATGCATGAGGCTCTGGGTTTGATTCCTCAGTACCACATAAACAGAAAAAGCTGGAAGTGGTGCTGTGGCTCAAGTAGTAGAGTGCTAGCCTTGAGCAAAAGAAGCTCAGGGACAGTGCCCAGCCCCTGAGCTCAAGCCCCAGGACTGGCAAAAAAAAGAGGTTACATTCTCTAATACTGAACAATAAATAGACTTGTTCATCCACTGGGGTAAATTATCCACCTATATTTCTCTTTCTACTACAAAATAATGTAGAAGCTGGGTGTTCATCTGAGGATTACAGTTCAAAGCCAGCCCATTCCTGCTTTTGTATTGACCCTGCAGCAGAAAGCTGGAAGTGGAACTGTGGCTCAAGTGGTAGAGCACCAGACTTGAGTGAAAAAGATAAGGGACAGGTGCCCAGCCCCTGAGTTCAAGCTCCTGTTCAGGGACAACACAAACCAAAACACACTGCAGGACGCAGCCGGCCATCTCCTGTAAACTGACAGTGTCTTCTGGCAATCCAGGGCTGAGTTTCTGTCCTTAATGCCTCTGCTCTTTCTCCTGTCTAACTTCCCACCAGTCTGCCACCATCTGAGCCTGAGAGCAGAACCCAGGGCAAGTCCCTGATCACTGCCTGGCGCCCACATCTCGGTACACGTCTGGTCCTGGAGAAGGTAGGAAACAGGTCTCGCTCTTTCCACGGTCGCGGCTTCAGCCGACCCCGCGGGTCCGTGCGAGTCAACAGCCCCGTCTACCTGCGCATGCCCAGTGGCCTGGAGTAACTTTTCACCCCGAGTCCAACATCGCCTCCCCCAGTGCCAGCGGCGGGCCCGGGCCGGCCGCGCTCTCCGGGGCCCGCCCGCCCGCTCGCACGCCTCCGGCCTCGCTCCTTTCCCACGGCCGGCCGGGCGCTCCCTTACAGGGGTCGGATCAGCAGCTGGTCGCTCTCTTCTGCGGGAATCGCAGACATCCTGGAGGTCTCCGGAGGCCGCGTGAGCGGCACGGCCGGGGTCCGCGGAGACGGAAGCGCGGCCAACACCAACTACAGGAGAAATCCCCAGCCACCAAAACACAACTTCCGGCACTCGGCGCCCGCGACACCACGCTCCTCCCTAGGACTTCCGGCTGGGAATCCAGCGAGGACCGTTCCACCTCCAGTCAGCGCGCGGAGCGCCGTGAGGACTGCGCCTGCGCACAGCCCCGGGGCGTGGCCTGGCGGACGTGGGGGCGGGGCCTGGCGGACGTGGGGGCGGGGCCTGGCGGACGTGGTGGGGCGGGCTGGAAAAGTTGGCGCTGGAGTCAGAATTGGAGTAGCTGTCGGGGCGGCGGGGGCGCTCCGACTCCGGGCTAGAGGCAGCCCTCGCCCCTCCCCGGCGGACGGGCACGCTGCTTCCAGGTGAGAGCTGCGGGACTCGCCGCAGCTGGGCCCAGCTCGCGGCTGGGCGGGAACGCGGCACCAGGGCGGTGCCGGCCGTCTGGACGGATGGGTGG